GCTCCTGCGTGCGCAGCTGATTTGTGGCCTTCCGGAGGGCCAGGGAAGGGCATTTTTGCTCTCCCCGGGCTTCAGGAAAGCCTCCAGAGGCTGGGGAGGGCGAAAAACATCCCCAACGAGCCAACAGGAAGTTTGGCAATGAACCCATTGGGCTTGTTTTTTGCCCTCCCCAGCCTCTGGAGGCTTTCCTGAAGCCCGGGGAGAGCAAAAATGCCCTTCCCTGGCCCTCCGGAAGGCCACAAATCAGCTGCGCACGCAGGAGCTGACAGCTGGCGTGCCAGCAAAAATGGCTCCATAGATTTGCCATCACAGTCCTAGGTACTGCTCCCATCTGTCTGATTTGCATGGTGGCCGTAGAGTGACCTCTGAATTTGCTTCAGAGGAAGACTGATAATGCTCCTGTTGAGAATGCTCACAGAGGGGGCTCTACACTGCCCAAAGAGCCTGAAGCCGTTCACTGGTCAAATAACATTTTCATAGTGTGGCTGTTTGATTTCATTTCCTGGTATGAGTCATATGACATTTGCTCCAGTACACCGAAGAGTTAGTGGCCTATAAGCCAATGTAAGCACTAGTAAAGCCAGGTTGTTCCTCTCCTCCTGAGTCTGCTGACTGCCAATACCAATAACTCTTCTGCCATTGTGTAAGTGGGATAAACAATGGCATGCACACCCAAAGGAGATGAGAAGCAACAGCAATACACCCAGAAAGATAATGTCAAGATGGCATAAGACTCTTAGTCATAGTTAACTCATCCATAATTAACTCAGTTTGGGGGATTCACATAACTAATTCCATCGCTTGCATTCATACAAGCTAGGCTGAAATGTGTGTGCGTAGTGCAACTACAGACACTGAATTTGTATAACATTAAATGCACACTTGTAAGATGCAAGCCAGGCAGCTGTGTATTGTTATCCTAATTGGGCAAACCCTGACAATTTTTGGAATCTGGCATCCCTTGCATTTTGAAAAGTGATGGCTTTGGTAGCAATATTTCCATTGCTGGGACCTCTTGCAAAACCTGTATGGCTAAAAGAAACCCATTACTTGGGGTATTATTTACACACAGCATGCACATGTCTCCTCCCTACCAATAATCTCAGAAGGATTTTTATTGGTGTAGTGCTGCCTGTGTTCCTGCCTCATAGCATTTGGCCCAACCCTTTACAGTGAAACAAGTCAATAACGATCTACAGCTGTCAACCTCCCCTGCTTAAGAGGTTTCGAAAGGCACTTGATACAGAACCAAGGTGAGTTCTGCTTTCCCCTTTCTTTCTATCACCATTAGCAAGCTATCCTGCCTGCTCCTGTTAAGCGGGAGCTCAGACTTTAAGCAGGGAGATTGTCCCTATAAAGGGCAGACGCAGTGAAAAGCCTGAAAGAGAGCAGAGCTTGTGAGGACAGGCCACTTGGGTGAGACAGCTAGGGAAGGGCGGGATGCATTTCAGTTTGAAGATCACTTAACCCAGCTGGTCAGATTAAATCAGCACGTGCCATAGGTTTCCACAAAAATGCTAGTGCTTGAGGGGGAAAAACCCAGCATGATGCCAACCTCTCTAGGCAAGTGAGATTATATGCGTTTTAGTCCGCTTCAGACGTATCTCAAAATGTACTTTTAGAAGCAGGTTGCCTCAGTGTAACAAATGGTAGAATGCTACAGACACATTGCAAAACATATTTCTTGTCAAATAACGTATGGTATTAATATTTCCTTATGACAAATTGATTATATATATATTTCCTGTGGCTTGAGTAAGGACAATTTTAACACACGTGTGATAAAATCAGTGTACCCACAGTATTGTGACGTAGTTTACAGAATATGCTAAAGCTGTAAAGTGGCAAACTACATTTGCCTTAGTTGGTCATTTATATACAGGTAGCCTATGTTTATTATTAGCTACCTAATAATTGTTTTGTGAATGTTTACAGTTAATAATTAGCCTCTTTCTTGCTATCTTTCATTTCTCTTTGACATCATTGCTGTTTAAAATTCACCTCTACCAAGGCTATGCCTATATTTCTATAAATTATTAAGTATAAGCATTATAAATACCATAAATTATTGTATTTAATTCTAATGCAGTATAAAGTTTCCTTTGTAGACTGGGGTCAATGAAAGTTTATAGATTAATTCAAATGTTAGATTATGTGGAAATCTGGATATAAACTTCACAGACCTAGCTTATCTAATACACTAAACCTTAATGTAGTTTTCTGTTTTTGACCTTGAAGTTAGTGAAATAATCAAATTACTGGTACTTAGTCATCATCTAAAAGTCAATATCTAAGAGTGACCAGTTATCAGTATTTTCCTTTTAAGTCATATAGCAGGAAGAAAAAATAATTGACAAAATTGAATATCCTTCCATGCTATATGATGTATCTTTAGGTTACGGTTATAATCTTGCATGGCTATGATATATCACAGAGTTTATGATCATCTTGGATACCAGTTTAACTTTCTATTAAGAAATTCTACATTTGTTGTTGGTTGGTGATTAGATCACATTTCAGCAGAAGTGATTTTTATTGTGGTGTGAACAACTTCAAATTCCAAGCCTCTTTCTGCCATGTAACTGCTAATGGTACAGAACCCATTTCTGGGGAAAATACTAATAATCAGAGAGCTGTCTTTACCCTCCATAGCAACTATTTTTCCTGGGAATAATGGAGCTCCAACCACTTTCTACAGTTACAAATTCTCAATTTCTTTGAGTTTTTGATGTGATCTGAGATAACTTTGAAAACATAAAGCTTCTTTGGATTTTCTGTTTTTGGATTTTGAGAATAGTAATTCTAACATAGAAGTTTGCTAACCACCAAGAAAAAAACATGTATGCCTTTTTCTGCTTTTAGCAATTCTTTAATCTTTGTTCATAGCAAGGGGGGGTACAACCTGTGAATATCTACTGATGAACAGCTGTTAGAAGCACAAGATCAGATCCTTATGAATATATTAAAATAGATAAATTTACCTGAAATTGTTTACTCTGACTGGCAGTGGCTTTCCAGAGGGTCCCCCCCGCCCCAGAAATGGAAAACACCCGAACTTTGGGTAGAGTCATCTAAATGCAACNTAGAGTAAGTTTAGACCAATACCATTTTCTATATTTCTGCCTGTCCTTGCAAACCATCCTTCTTTCCACTAAGTTTGTATGCTGCTTTCATATATTATCTTTTGTTCTTTAAAATTCTTATACCTCAACCATGTCCTCTAACCGCAGCTTTCTAGTTTTCTTCTTTCTCACAAGCAAATCACTTTTATTTTAGTTTTGGTCTTTGATTCAAGTGCATGCACAGATGATCAAATTGCAGAATGTCATAATACGACTAATACAACAGTTGGGGCAGAATTAGGCTGGTTTTCATGGTTTTACCTTATTTCAGCAAGCTTTTTAGAACGGAGGCATTTTAAGCTCTGTGGGTGGTATTTTTAAGATGATGAATGGTCGCCAATACCAGCCATAGATATCAAATATAGATATCAAATACTCAACAAATATTAAACTTCACTTTAAGCATTACCTGGAAGGTGATGCTGAAATAGGCTTTTATTTATTTGGCAATATTTCTAATCCACCTCCATTCTAAAAGACTCTGTTCACAGAAATAATATTTGTAAAAACAAGAGCATAAAAATATTAGAATAACATACATATTTCTTATGATGGGTACCCAGAATCAATTAAGAGCAAGAACAGTTTGGAATAATATCAACTTTACTTGCTTATGGAGTAGAAGTGATGCCATCCCTGCCTCTGTGGGAAAAGCAATCCATAGAGTGGAAGACACCACCGAGTCCACAGCCCATGTGAGAAAGTGGATCTTCGACCAATCCTCTAGCTTTCCAGATCCGATGGATAGATTCATTTGTGGCAGGTCATTGCCTAAGATTTCTAAATCTTTTATCACATAAGACTTTAAAGGCCATAACTTTATAAAGCCTAATCTAACCACTTTGCTTTTACACCATCCATAGCTGCAAAGTTGCCTCCAAAAGCCGCCCCATGCATAGTACTTTTCACTAATCCAGCCATTTGCTGATTAAAGTATGAAATATTGTCACTGGTATATCCTTGTTAAAAATGTATCTTAGTTGTAAAGATAACCTAAGCAAGTTTTGTCCTGTGCCTCTGTACGATGGCCTGAAACAAGTTCTCTTCATTTTTGA